AATAATATAATTTATTATATATGCTATTGTTTTAGCTATGGAGCTGATCTTGGCGACAGGGATCACCAGCTGGAAGTGCTGGAGAACAAGCTAAAAGAGGCGGAGGAAAAGGATCACCGATTTGAAGATTTAGAAAGTGAACTGAAGAAAATCAGTGACGAGAAGGATCTTCTATCCATTGAATGTGTATGTTCTTTAATATTATAAATTCTTGATAAAGTGTGAGTATTCTACGAACAATTTAAGGTGAACTACACGCAGCTCCGATCAGTCCTGGCAGCGAGAGCAGTTATAGAAAGATTCGAGGACATGTGAGCTTATTTTCTGATTACTTTTTTAGTTTAGTTTGGTTCAGTTTAAGATTTACATTTTCTACAATTTCCAAATTCTTAAATTTTAGACTTCCCAGACAATACGACAAGGATGACTGGAAAGCCACTTGGAGAAAGCGTGTGAGAAAGCGCTACAAGTGGTTTGTTTATGAAGCAAATCTACCAAGCAAAAATGTTGACTTTAGTTGAAAGTTGCTCAGAGGCGTGACGGTTCTGCTGTCGAAATGTGGGGATCGCTCTCGAAAATGTGTTTTGCTGCGAATACTAGGTGGGAAACGAAATTTTACATGATCATAAGCTTTGGAAGTTTTGTAATGCTCTTTTCTATCTTTTTCTTTAGATCATTAGATGCCTTTCATATGCTTGGTTCTACGGCTTCATTACTCAACTATGGTCTTCAAGCGATAATATCAAATGAAGAACCTGCGTGAGTCAAATGTTTATAAACTAGTGGTTAATAACTTTGAGGTAGGTAACTACCTCAAATCAATTCATTTTAACATTTTAGTTCTGTGAGGATCCCTTTATTGGACTCGACGTGTTAGGTGAGATTTCGACAACGGCAATTGTTGGAAAGGGCCAAAAAGACTTTTGAAATTTTGACAAGGGTACAAACGAGCGAAACACATCGAGTAAATGAGCAAGTATGTTTGCTTTTTCATCATCGATTTTCATTTCATTTTAGTCAATCAATCATTTGATGACCGTCGCGAAGTCTTTGTGTATGCATCGATTGGGAATGCCGAAATATCTTTTCTATCAGAAGTGTCAATTTGAGGTTAAGGTGGGTAAATTTAAGTTTAAGCCAATCTAAATTTACAAATTTAATTATCCGTGACGCCTGGGACTTCTGGAGAGTATCACGCTTCGCCGATTTATTTAAGGTTTGTTTGTACGGATTGAAACTGATATTATTATGACTTGGGCTTGACAATAGCTTATCGATTTTTTAACGGTTTGCTCTTGACAAAGGGACCGATCGTTCCAATTGAGACGGTCATCGTCACCGTCATTGTGCAGTTTGCTGCGTCAGTTGGGGTTTGATTTTTATATTCTTCTTTAATGCGTTTAGATCTATAATGTCAATGAAATAAACCGTCTTGAAATTAAAATCTACTTTTAGAACGATTACGAGCAATTGCAAACGGTCAATCTCAAAGAAGAGGATTATTTCAACGCGAATTTCTTGCTTCAATTTAACCAAGTGGGTTCCTGTTTGATATGAACTGTAAAAAATCAAAGCGGTATTCGATTTTATCGTAACTTAAAAAAACTTGACTCATTTATTTACCTGAAATTTTCATTAAAGCTGTTTTTAGAATTGCTCTGTCGATTTTATCGTCGAATTTGGTGATTCAGAGCGTCGATAAACTTGGAAAAGTGAAGCGAATGCAATGGTGAGGATACAGGTGAGAACACCAGCAAGAATTGAACATTGAAAAAAGTGAAATAAGAAGAATTGTGATTCTAGTTTATTTTTTAAAAATAAGTTCTTTTATCGGTTGATTTTCTTTTGTTTCCTGCTATTTTGTTGGGCAATTTGATTTATTGTTTTTTGTGATCTCGGCAATTTTGTATGGGTTTTGAGAGATTGGAAGAAAAATAAAAATTCTTTATAGTTGATGTTACTGTATAGAATTAAGGAAGAAATTCCAGATTTTTGGATAGGGGTGGAGTCAGCCAAGTGGAACCAGGCAGTCTGATAAAAATTCAAAGTCTATAAAAGACCTTGGGTAATCGACGGGTTTTGTTGCCTGTTTTCTCGTTTTCTTATCGTTAATCCGATTTTTTTAAAGTTAGGTAATAGTTTTAGGCTTGTAAACTTTGGTACAGCCTTTTGTACTCTTGTACTTTTGTAAATTACCTAAAATAGTCATTGGTTTTTGAAATTGTACAGCTATACTTGTTCTTTTACTTTAAAAGTATACCCACCAGTACGGTCGCTAGTCAATATTTTTTCGGAAAAATCATTTTTCCTCAAAGCCTCATAATTTTTCCCAACCGCACTTTTTGTTTTGGCGTCATGATTTTTATTAAATAAATTCTCATTTTTATGATGAATTCTATAGAGCTTAGACTTAACGGCTCCGAATCTGATATTTTTTATTTCTACAACTTGGTTCATTTATATATAGTAACTTTAACTCTAGTATTCGCTTCCTTTCTTATTGCTAATCGTTTCAGGTAACCTCACCATGTCGTCCAAGAGGAAGAAAAACGATAGTTCGGACGAAGAAAGGTATTTAAATAATATAATCTATTGTATGTTATCGTTTTTTAGTGATGAAGTCGATTGGCAGAAGAGGTATCTGAATATGGAAAAACTCTGTCAGAAGACGGAAAACGAACTGAAGGAGTCGCACGAAGAGATGGAAACGAATCGCTCGGAGCTGACAGAAGCAGCTGCGAAGAATGAAAAGCTAGAAAGAGAATTGGTATGTTCTCTAATAGCATGAATTTTCCGTAAAATCCCGATATTCTAGAAACATGTTAACGATAAAGTCCTTCGATTCCAATCAATGATGAGTGCCAAAGGTGTTATCAAGTGGCTTGAAGAGTTTGTGCATTTTTCCGATTACTGTTTCGAATACTATAGTCTAAGTCCTACTAAACTCATGCTTCTTTCTAGAAGCTATGAGAAATTTGCCATTGGAGTTGTTATAGGTTAACTTTTAAGGCTTTAGCAGATAGATTTAAATTCTATATGATTTGCAATTTTTTAAATTTTAGAGAAAAGCGAAATGACGCTATACGGAAAATGCCGCTTGACGTGAAAGACGGTGCTCGACACGACCGATGGAAATGGATCTTCGATAATGATAGCAAGTTCTCCAAGGAAGTTCGCTCATACTTTCCGCGATCGACTGCTCAGCGAGTTGCAAAGATAGTGGACGAGATTCTCCAGAATGCTGCCGCCAATGTACAATCATCTGCCTCGAGCAATGGACTTGAGATCTCAGGTCAGGGTTATACCACTGCTCAGAAGGATGTTCTTAAAGCCATTTGTGCTACCATCCCATGTAATTTTTCTATTGAATAAAGTTTTGTTTGATTTTTCCTAATCCCTGCATTGAAAAATTCCATCGAATCATAGTGGTTTTTTAATGAAAAAGGATTTAAACGACGAGATGTGGAAATTAGGGGAATGGGCTATCCTGGAAATGGTGCCTGTTTACTACTAAGCACAATAACGAAATAGATAGTGTTTGTTGCACTTACTTAATATGAGTCTCATTATGAATAAGCAATAAGAAATGTCGAAACCTAGAGGGGAAAATGAGCATTTATAGTGAAAAAATGACAACAAAAAGAACAATGATTGTTTCGCAATGTGGTCAATGAGGCACTTGAAGCCACTTTGCTTCTGAACTTTTTTGGCTCCCTAAAAAGCAGAATATACTTTAATTTAGCTTTTCCAAAGAAATTCGTGATATTAGCAAAACTCTGTCAGACAGTCCAAATCTTACTCAACAGATTAGTGTTGAGTGCTTTCGAAAATGTCTTTTTAATGACCTCAAAATTTACCTCTTATAACCAAAAGCTTCTGCAGTATTTCCATAGACTATCGGCTTGACAATGCTTTTGCCTCGAATGCACTCATTTCCTTCATTAGCCATTGATCGATTGGCTGAAAATAGCAAAATTACGGAATCAAATAAAGCAAATAAAACCACAAAAAAAAGCATCGTCAACTCTTAAGTAAAGAATTTGACTGAAATTGACTATTTGAAAGCACAGAGAGAAATACCCTTTGCGTTAATGCGGAAAGGAGCGCGTCGCAAAGAAATTCAAATATTTACTCTCAAAAACTATATTTTTGGTATTCAGCCCCTTAACTTAAAATCTTTATCCATCTTGTTTGTATTCGGGTTTAGGCATTGTTGACAAATGGCTCTTTTTCAGAATCAAACTCTGAACACGTCAAAAGTGCTCCTTGCAGTCCGTCAAAGGAAGAACTCGACAGGATAAAATTTATGAAGATGATGCGAAGTGAGCTGTTTATTATTTTTAAAATGTTAAATTGTATTTTAGCAAAATCTTCTACTGAAATGTCTGATGCAGAAGAAGAAGATCGAATTCTTGTTTTTCGAAAGAACGATGCTCCCTTGCCTCCTGTCGGTCACATGAATGCAAAGGTGCTCTACACGACTTGTGTTCAACCATCATCGACTGTAAAGAAAGCGTCGAGACAAATTTCATCTTCTGCTGAAAGGTTAATGCTAGTCTGCTTATTATAGTTGTTCTAGATACGAAGTCTATCTATGGAATCCCGACACTGGAGAAGTTGGGGTTAATTCAAGTTGTATTCGGTATATTCACCTCATCTTTAGCTTCTTGCTGAAGCAAACGAGGATACGGATCTTATAACTGCGATAAAATGGGCAGTCGATGGAAGGTGTTTTGCCGTTGGTGGCGATACTGAAAGGGTTAAAGTAAAAGTACCTTCTAAGTTTAGATTGATGTTTATTGTTTAGCTCTACGATCCTACTAAAAATAAGAAATTGCGAAAACTCGATGCCGAGTGTGTTAGTAGAGCCACCTGCATGGTCTGGAAAGATCATATTTTGTGGATTGGATACAAAAGTGGTCAAGTCATTCCTCACGACGTCCGAATAAGAAATTCGGTTGTTGGGTAAGTTATTTTGAGCCTCGGGTTCTCTAATCCTCTAATGATGCCATACTGGCTTCTACAAACTAATCTCTACTAGCCCACTCCTAGCTTCATACTAATAAGGGTAGAGGGTGCTATATTATGGAGCGGAAAACGGCAAGAATTAAAGTATGATATTTTAGTGTGCTTGATGGGGATTCACAGCTAGTTTGTGGCATTCATTGGTCAATCGATGGATCTCAATTGGCCACAGGTGGAGGGGCCAATCTCGTCAACATTTGGGATGCCCAACTTGTCAACACACGTAATCAGGTTTGATTTTTTCACAAAAAAATAAACCAATTGTTTAGTCACCCGCTTTTTCTTTGAATGACGACACGGCTTCTGTAAAGGCCGTCCGATTCTCAAACTTCGAGAGAGGTTTACTGGCAACCGGCGGTGGACAGGATGATCCTCATGTGTGCTTATGGGATACCCAAACAGGCGCGCTGACAAAAAACCTTGAAAGTTGGATCACAGGTAATTCAAGTGTTTCATTCAAGAGTGAGCTAGTGTTTTTAGGCCACAGCCATTCGATTCAATAAAGACTATAACGAGATGATTGTCGGACTTGGGCGAACTTCGAACTGCATCAAAATCTTCAAACATCCTTCTTATGCTGAGGTCGCCAATATTGCTGGTTTATATGGGTTTATGCAAAGTAGCTTTTATTGTTTCAGGGCACATTGACCGTATTTTGGGATTGTCGATGTCTCCTTGTGGTCAATACGTAATTAGTGCCAGCGCTGATGAATCTCTCCGTTTGTGGCACTTTTTCCAAGTACATTTCAACACTTTTAACAAAGTAATTTTTATATTTAGTATTCTATCTATTTTAGGTTGACAAGAGCACACAACTTCTGCAACAAAAAAGAAGCAAATTTTCCACACTTGATGCTTTGCGTTAATTGGCACTTATGGGTTATACTCTCAACCATTTGGTACAGTTAGGCATCAATTAGTTTTACCTCCTCCCGCAATTTGCACACAAAGAAATTTATATACACAAAGAAAATAATATACCGAATACAACGAATACACAAAGAAAATAATATACCGAATACAACGAATACACAAAGAAAATAATATACCGAATACAACTTGAATTAACCCCAACTTCTCCAGTGTCGGGATTCCATAGATAGACTTCGTATCTAGAACAACTATAATAAGCAGACTAGCATTAACCTTTCAGCAGAAGATGAAATTTGTCTCGACGCTTTCTTTACAGTCGATGATGGTTGAACACAAGTCGTGTAGAGCACCTTTGCATTCATGTGACCGACAGGAGGCCTTTGACGGACTGCAAGGAGCACTTTTGACGTGTTCAGAGTTTGATTCTGAAAAAGAGCCATTTGTCAACAATGCCTAAACCCGAATACAAACAAGATGGATAAAGATTTTAAGTTAAGGGGCTGAATACCAAAAATATAGTTTTTGAGAGTAAATATTTGAATTTCTTTGCGACGCGCTCCTTTCCGCATTAACGCAAAGGGTATTTCTCTCTGTGCTTTCAAATAGTCAATTTCAGTCAAATTCTTTACTTAAGAGTTGACGAGACTTTACTTAAATTCTTTACTTTAGAGTTGACGATGCTTTTTTTGTGTTTTTATTTGCTTTATTTGATTCCGTAATTTTCTATTTTCAGCCAATCGATCAATGGCTAATGAAGGAAATGAGCGCATTCGAGGCAAAAGCATTGTCAAGCCGATAGTCTATGGAAATACTGCAGAAGCTTTTGGTTATAAGAGGTAAATTTTGAGGTCATTAAAAAGACATTTTCGAAAGCACTCAACACTAATCTGTTGAGTAAGATTTGGACTGTCTGACAGAGTTTTGCTAATATCACGAATTTCTTTGGAAAAGGTAAATTAAAGTATATTCCGCTTTTTAGGGAGTCAAAAAAGTTCAGAAGCAAAGTAGCTTCAAGTGCCTCATTGACCACATTGCGAAACAATCATTGTTCTTTTTGTTGTCATTTTTTCACTATAAATGCTCATTTTCCCCTCTAGGTTTCGACATTTCTTATTGCTTATTCATAATGAGACTCATATTAAGTAAGTGCAACAAACACTATCTATTTCGTTATTGTGCTTAGTAGTATACAGGCACCATTTCCAGGATAGCCCATTCCCCTAATTTCCACATCTCGTCGTTTAAATCCTTTTTCATTAAAAAACCACTATGATTCGATGGAATTTTTCAATGCAGGGATTAGGAAAAATCAAACCAAAACTTTATTCAATAGAAAAATTACATGGAATGGTAGCACAAATGGCTTTAAGAACATCCTTCTGAGCAGTGGTATAACCCTGACCTGAGATCTCAAGTCCATTGCTCGAGGCAGATGATTGTACATTGGCGGCAGCATTCTGGAGAATCTCGTCCACTATCTTTGCAACTCGCTGAGCAGTCGATCGCGGAAAGTATGAGCGAACTTCCTTGGAGAACTTGCTATCATTATCGAAGATCCATTTCCATCGGTCGTGTCGAGCACCGTCTTTCGCGTAAAGCGGCATTTTCCGTACAACGTCTTTTCGCTTTTCTCTAAAATTTAAAAAATTGCAAATCATATAGAATTTAAATCTATCTGCTAAAGCCTTAAAAGTTAAAATATAACAACTCCAATGGCAAATTTCTCATAGCTTCTAGAAAGAAGCATGAGTTTAGTAGGACTTAGACTATAGTATTCGAAACAGTAATCGGAAAAATGCACAAACTCTTCAAGCCACTTGATAACACCTCCGGCACTCATCATTGATTGGAATCGAAGGACTTTATCGTTAACATGTTTCTAGAATATCGAGATTTTACGGAAATTCATGCTATTAGAGAACATACCAATTCTCTTTCTAGCTTTTCATTCTTCGCAGCTGCTTCTGTCAGCTCCAAGCGCTTCGTTTCCATCTCTTCCTGCGACTCCTTCAGTTCGTTTTCCGTCTTCTGACACAGTTTTTCCACATTCAGATACTTCTTCTGCCAATCGACTTCATCACTAAAAAAACGATAACATACAATAGATTATATTATTTAAATACCTTTCTTCGTCCGAACTATCGTTTTTCTTCCTCTTGGACGACATGGTGAGGTTACCTGAAACGATTAGCAATAAGAAAGGAAGCGAATACTAGAGTTAAAGTTACTATATATAAATGAACCAAGTTGTAGAAATAAAAAATATCAGATTCGGAGCCGTTAAGTCTAAGCTCTATAGAATTCATCATAAAAAATGAGAATTTATTTAATAAAAATCATGACGCCAAAACAAAAAGTGCGGTTGGGAAAAATTATGAGGCTTTGAGAAAAAATGATTTTTCCGAAAAAATATTGACTAGCGACCGTACTGGTGGGTATACTTTTAAAATAAAAGAACAAGTATAGACATTAATCAGGGCAATTGAATGAAAACGAGTGCAGCCAAATCTGTCAAATGAGCGGCGAGAAAAACGCAAAAAAACCTAATTTACCTCTGGCAATTGGGACACTTGTGGGCGGTACTTTAAAAGTATACTGGTGGGTATGGTGCAAAACTGTCTTTTTTGATTTTTGGCATAAAATTAACATTGAGATTTGAGTGCACCAGATGCGGTGTGTTTACGGATTTTTGCGTACAAAGTACATGGAAAAGAGATTAATTTGAAAAAGCAAAAGTGAATCATTGTTGAAAAAATTGTTTATATCTCATCTAAACGAGGTCAATCATCAGCTATTTTATCGTTTAAATTCTACTCCATTAAGAACTTTTCACTCCAAATGACACTTGTGACTGATTAGGATAGGGAAATACCACTATTGAGCAATGTTTAGCTAATTAGTAGTAGTTAATAAGGAGTCAAGCCAACTTTTTGGCCCGACCTTGCTGTACAATTTCAAAAACCAATGACTATTTTAGGTAATTTACAAAAGTACAAAAGGCTGTACCAAAGTTTACAAGCCTAAAACTATTACCTAACTTTAAAAAAATCGGATTAACGATAAGAAAACGAGAAAACAGGCAACAAAACCCGTCGATTACCCAAGGTCTTTTATAGACTTTGAATTTTTATTAGACTGCCTGGTTCCACTTGGCTGACTCCACCCCTATCCAAAAATCTGGAATTTCTTCCATAATTCTATACAGTAACATCAACTATAAAGAATTTTTATTTTTCTTCCAATCTCTCAAAACCCATATAAAATTGCCGAGATCACAAAAAACAAAGAATCAAATTGCCCAACAAAATAACAGGAAACAAAAGAAAATCAACCGATAAAAGAAC